TGGCCGATGTCCGCATGGTTAACACACCTCCAAGGAGTGTGATTCAAGTTTCGTACTTGGTGCTACGATCAACATAGTGAGATTCGTGTTTCCCTAATGATCAGGAATTAGAGCCTAATCTCACGTTGGTGACTCGAAGACGTCGTTCTGTCAAGAGCACCCCCTCTCTCCGCTCGAATTCGTTGTAAGAACCGAATTACATCGATTGTGAAGAAAGAGGCTATCTATGATCAATTGTCGACGATAGCACTAATTGAAAACGACGTAATATGACACTTTAAATACTGAACCGAGTCAATCCGGAAGGACTTCCTACCTTCAGGAAGAGTACTCGACGCTCAGTGAATTTCTCCTGACCTGCTTCCAATCTGAACTCCTCCATTATAGCATGCTCCAAATCTCTTTGTTTCTCCATAGCACGTATCTTCGCCTTCAAGGAATTCACAATTCCTCTCAGTCTCATATCTCCACTTTCACTTCCCTCGAACTTCATCTCCGCCGGTTGCAGAGTAGAAATCTCCATCGAGGCGGAGCTCTTAGTGCTCCTTGTAGCAGTACGGGTGTTTTGATTTTTGAACATTTTCCTCTCAGCCACATCGCCGATGGAAGTCTCTGACTGTGCCAGAAAAGAAGGCAAACTACCGCGCATTTCCATGCTGATACAAACCCACTGGGCCAAGGAACAGAAGCTGGATGATCGAGCATAGTTGTTAACGCCGTATTCATTCACTACTCAACAGGAACAACACTAACTAGAGAAATTAGCATATCACCGAAAAAAAACTTCGAACATCTAAACAATAGAGGTAACAACAAGTATCTCCTGTATTATCATAAAGTTGATTCACGCAACCACACTGAAATCATATACTGTCTTGGAGTAATATTTTTCATCTGGTCTGAGAAGAGTTGACGGGAAATCAGGACGGTTGGGCGAGTTGGGATAATGCTGCGTCTCGATGGCAACACCATTGTTCTCCATGGGCAGATGGTTTCCAGTGTACAGTTGAATACCGGGCTCGTTAGAGGTAATGTCCACACGACGACCAGTGGCGGCACAGTATAAACTGCCAACCGTCCTCATCTCCTTAGCCTCGCCAGAAATGACGATGTTGTGATCAATTCCATCCATCTCAGTCAACTGCTGGTCTTTCTCGGAAAGAGCATCACCAATAATTCTCGGAGAGGTGAAATCGAAAGCGGTACCTGAGAAGTGCAAATCTATTGCTAGCTTGTTCGATTCAGCAACGTCAGATGAGTGAACGATATAAAATAATTTTCTCAGACTTATTCTCCAACGAGCAAAAACAAAATCAACAATGTAGTACGACCGACACGATCAGAATCAACAACATCAAATGATCCAACATAATACCGGAATCGAACATTCCACACAACATCGAAAGCAGACAGACCTTGAAGAATCGAAGCAATCAACTTACCCTTAACATCAGATGGAGCACCAGCAATGGGGATACCATTGTTCTCAACCTTCACGAATTGGTGACCATTTGGTAGACATAACTCGTGGTCGCGTATAGTCTGTGAATGGTCGTTGTTGAGGTTGAAGTAAGTATGATGTGTCAGATTGATAACAGTAGTAGCATCAGTAGTGGCATAGTACTCCATCGTCAACCTGCTACCGGTGATTGTGAAAACAACAGTGACATCCAAATTGCCGGGGAAACCTTGGTCGCCATCCTCGGAACGCATCGCGAAAGTCGCGGAAGCCGATTTTTCTGAACAACAAACGAATACTTGGGGATTTAAGACGAGTAAAATCGAACTCACCATCACGGTAAGAATC